AGATGATGTCCGCCAGTATGTTGTGAGAAAGCCCCTAAACAAAGAAGGGAAGAAACCTAGAACCAAAGCGCCTAAGATTCAGCGTCTTGTTACTCCACGAGTCCTCCAGCACAAACAGCGGCGTATTGCTTTGAAGAAGCAGCGCACTAAGAAAAATAAGGAAGAGGCTGCAGAATATGCTAAACTTTTGGCCAAGAGAATGAAGGAGGCCAAAGAAAAATGCCAGGAACAGATTGCCAAGAGACGGAGGCTGTCCTCTCTGAGAGCTTCTACCTCTAAGTCTGAGTCCAGTCAAAAATGAGATTTTCTGAGTGACAAATAAATACAATCAGACATCAAATCCCCCCCCAAACAGTGAACTTTAAAAACAGTAAAAATAACTTGCTTTCACCACTGCTAAGGTTATGTTTGAACAGTTGTAACAACAGATCTTCTATGTTCCTCAAGAGTTTTTAAAACTTAGGTAATATTTTTAGTTACAAAACTCTGGGATGATCTTATATAAACTCATCTGCAAAGCTCTAAATGCCTTTAATTATGCTGTGTTAAACCTAACCTCTGTCTAATTCATTTTATATGCAAAATAAACTTCTATGTATCAGTAATGGAGATATAATATTAAGACTTTGATTTGCAGTTAGTTGTCAAGGAACCCTTCTGAAATTAGGACACCCCTCCTTTAAAAAAAGCAATAGTGGTAAGCAACAAAGGGTTTTTTTAGAACAATCTAAGCTAGGTTTTGTGACTTCTAGTCTCAATTCTGTCAATGGCTTACTCTGTGAACAAGAGTTATGTAAGATCTAATTTTTAAGAATTATGTTATGTACCCCATTTTAAAATGTCTCCTTTGATACCTGAATATTCACTACCTTAACTTTTAAAAAACAGCAGAACCCTCTGAGATAAGAGTATGATCAGACCCATTTTATAGCCGGGGAAAATGAGCATTGGAGAGGCCCAGTCAGAGAGGGGCCCAAAGTCACACAACGGCCATGAGGCAGAGCTGAACTTGAATTCGGGTCACTGACTCTAAAAGCCAAGCTCTCAACTAATCTGCAAGGGGTCTCAAAAACGCCCTCTGGTATAGGCAGGTAAAATAAGTGAGGGAAGGGGCACCTGGGTGGCTCAGTCGGTTAAGCTGCTGCCTTCGGCTCAGGTCATGATCCTAGGGTCCTGGGATCGAGCCCCACATCGGGCTCCCTGCTAAGCGGGGAGCCTGCTTCTCCCTCTCCCTCTCCCTCTGCCTGCCTCTCTGCCTACTTGTTCTTTTTCTCTCTCTGTCAAATAAATAAAGAAAATCTTTAAAAAAAAATAAGTGAGGGAAGCAGGAGAATGTGATTGAGGTGAACTGAAGAGCACATGTCCACCCACCTAAGGGCATTTGCAGCTACTCCATTCCAAAACATTGTAGTCAGGCAGAACTTTCTCAAGTTCTTAAACTTGAGAAATCAGACTAACTGACAAGCAAGATATCTAGATTAAGAAATCAATGGATTTTAAAATATTGGCTCAATTTTTCTTAAAAAATATATATTAAAATGGATAAAAAGAAAAAGAATCTGGTAATGCTAGCAAAGATAAGGAACAACTGGAAATCTTGTGCATTGCTGATGGGAATGCAAAAATAGTACAGCCACTTTGGAAAACAGTCTGACATACTTTTTATAAAGTTCAACATGTACTTACCACATCTAACAGTCCCACTGTTAGTCCAAGGTATTTTTTCAAGTGAAATGAAAACCTATATGCACACAAAAATCTATACCCAAATGTGTATAGTGGCTTATTCATAATCACCAAAAACAAAATGACCCACAGACCTGACACTGGGGAATGGATAAACAAACTGTGGTATATCCATGTAATGGGATACTACTCAGCATTAAAAAGGATTGAACTACTGATACACAAAACAACATGTACAGATCTCAAAGTATTATGCTAGGCTAAAGAAGCCAACTTAAAAGAGTATGTATACACAGTAAGATTCTATGAAGTTCTGGCAAAGCTGAAACTATAGAGACAGAAAACAGATCGGTAGTTGCCAAGGCCTAGGAGTAGAATGCACAAAGTCACAACAGAATGGAAGGGTGGGATGATGAAATGCATATCTTTATTGTGGTAGTTTTTAATCAAAACTTGCTGAACTATTATATACTCAAAAGAATGAATTTAACTATGTACATTATACCTTAACTAAACAATAAAGGAAATAGTTGAAAGATGAAAAAAAAGCACCAATTATATAAAACCTAAGTTTTATTATACACACACACACACACACATATATATATAAAACAGCAATGTACTTTCTTCACTGATATGTGTGATTATTTTACATTATAAAGATAGTAAGTTAAGGACAAATTGATATATTTAGAGAAAGACACATAATTTTAAGATCTACACCATACTCCACAAAATAAAATCTATAGCACTCTAAAGCCATCTACTTTCTGGAAGACTAGACAAGAACTCCAAAAAATACACTGTATTATTATGAAAAGAGTGTTTGAATTGTTAATAGGGAGTCAAGTTAAAATATGCCTCTTATTACAGTAACAGATACAAAAAATGTTTTGCAAATTATGAAGAACCTACAAATATTAAATAGAATAGGTATGGTAAAAAGCACAAGGATTTAGGGTCAGCCTGGCTCGAACCCTGTCTCTGCCACTTACTAGCTGTGTGACCTTGACAAATTGCTTAATCCTGCGGAGTCTTATTTTCTCAACCATAAAATGTAAAATCCTCAAAGGGTTTGCGTAGACTAAATGAGAAAATAAAGTGCTTTTTTGTAAAGCACTTTGCACATATGGTTAAATAAGGTACCTGTTTCTAATGTATGTAAGGTTGAAAATTTGAAGATTTTCATCTATTTTTAACTTAATGGCAAATAATGGCTTCTTGCGAGAATAGGACTACTCTAGAATCATGAAAGGATTCGGAGAGGCTGCTTCGAGTGGCAGCAGGTAAGACGAGGTGGCCCGAAGTGGTTGGTATTGTTTCACCAATCTTTTCGTTTGAACCTGACTATCGGGCAATACAGCTGTCCACTTTCCAGCCTCTGTTATCAGTGAAGAGCTTCCCTGGTGCCCCCACCTCCTCCGCTTAACAGGAGGCTTTAGCAGGCTAGGCTAGGGTGAGGCATGTGAGATGCCAAGGGTGCAAAAGTTAAGAAGCTCTGGGCATTTGCCTAGAGCTAGCCCTAGCCCAGCCCACCTTCCCTCCAAAATTCTTATTTCCACATTTCTCCCAACACACAGATTTTCCACGTTCTTCTCTACTGGGGGCGGGGGCGGGGGGAAGGAATTGTTCCGCTTCCTTTAAAAAGATTCACACAGTTTGGTGACTAATCATTAGCCTCTACTACTGTTGTATCCTAGAGTCTGTATGTTCCCATTTTGGGTAACTTTCATTTTTGAAATATTCCTGTTTTTTTTCTCTATTAATCCAGGTATCTCTCTTTGAAGGAATCTGAAAGCTTGTTGACAAAAGTGATATACCTAAACTTCACCTTCCCCGAAAAAAAGTAAAAAAAAATTTGTAAAAAAAAAAAAAAAAAGATGAGTAAATTCAGCCTTAAGTGATCTAAAACGTACGTTTTTTTACTTTTATACTACCAGGCAATATCATCTTTTGTAGTTTGTAGCTCTAGGGTATCTCACTATATAAGAAAAACCTTTAAGCGGTTTGATTTGCTTCTTTATGGCATCTGAAACATTGCTTTTCAATTGGTTTTCCCTCATTACATACAATTTACTGAGAAAATAAAGATGTGCTTCCTCATTCATCAAAAGAAAGTAATCCTTTTTGAGCCAATGGTATTTTGGTCCATCTTTTCTAAAGCGTAAATCTAATTACAGTTATTGAACGGGAACTGAAGATTATTATTATTCTGATTCACTAATATACCTGAAGTGTAGAATGATACATTAAAATGCAAGTTGTCACCATTACTACATACTACTTCATAGTTCCAATTTAAAAATCTATAGTACAGAAATTACGTCTCATATACAAGAGCAATTTCATCAATGATATTTTAAATTTGATATTCTGTCTTGACTCCAAAGATTTTTAAATGTCCTGCTCTTCGAACTGAGGGCATTAGTTCAAGGACATACTAACTACGTTCTAGAAACTATCGTGCGTCCACTTAGACTTCACCTCTGAAGGCCCTGGGCCCAGGACCCGCGGGAGCCACAGGGTTGGGGGCGTCGTGGGCCCAGCGCTTCCCGGGCGGGCTCTGAACAGGCCAAGCGGCGCCGAGCCAGCATTAGCTCTCAAAGAGCCTCAGAGAGAGCCCCTCACCGGACAGCTTGCAGGCCACGTTTCCCGTGGGCCCCCAAGTGCAAGACATCTGAGGCGAGTTCCCTGCAGGGGGGCGGAGCCAGGACGAATTTTAGGTCCAAAAAACGAAACAAAGCGGGGCCCCGCGCGTGCGACGGAGGCGACCCGCAACGGTCCGCGCCCCCGGGGGAGAAGCGACCGCGATCCCAGGGCTTTTTACTCCGGTTTGGGAACTTCCAAATATCCCCGTAGGCGCACTATCTCCGAGCGGCTATAAACTGGTCACGGAGTACCGAGGTGGAGGGACTACTGCTTCAATTAGGGCAGCATGAAACATTTACCTTGGTGGTAGAATAATAGGTTAGCGCATCGCAGCGACACACTCCACATTTCCTCAGAAAATTAAAAGTCACGCTGGGCAAAACGGCAGGGCTCCCCGCCTCAGCTCGGCGCCTGCCTGGGAGGCGCCCGCGCTCAGGCCGAACCCGTGACGGAAAGCCGGCGGCGAGGCTAGGCAACTCGCGAGGCCGCCCCGAGGGCCTTCATCACCGCGGACGCTCGACGTACTGCGCCTGCAGTCACGCCTCGGGGCGAACCCGGACGGGGCGGAGGGAGGGGACATGACGACGCCCCGCCCCCTGTGGCCCCGCCCCGCCGGGCCATTTGATTAATGACTCTCAGCCCCCGGCAGAGCCCGTCAGGTGGGCGCGGACCTCGGCGGGTCCCGCTGTCCCAGCCCTACATGGAGTCTGGCCCACACACGCCTGGCCACGGGGGCGACCGCATAAAAGGCGCGCCCAAGAGGGCCTAGAAGCGGCTGTCGACTTCGGCTGGACGAGGATGGAGTGACTTGTGCGGCCCTGGCCACTCAGACCAAGCTCGACGCTCCTGGTCCGCTCTTGGAGCGGAACGGAGCCCTGCACGGCCGCTCCAGGAAAGGTGAGAACCTCAGTCCGACCCCAGCAGCGTCGCTTGGTCCCCAGGTTCGTTAGGATAGCGGGTGCCTAGGTCCAAGGTGAGGTCAGGGGGTCCCCTCTCCTCCCGCGGAAATTAGAATGAGCTCCCGCCGTCACCCCCGGGATCCCTGACCTCGGGAATGAATGGTGCGAGGGCTGCCCCCGTGGGCACTGAGGACCCTGGCGAGGCCAGGGCTTCCCGCTGAGCCCGCGAGAATGACCTGCCCATCTCTCCTGCGGGGCTGGCGCATAACGTTCCAGAAGTGCAAACAAGTCCCGAACCGGAGCTCTGCTTCCAAGATCTTCCTTCCTCGGTAGAATAGCCCTTTCACTTAATTTGTCCCTGAGAAGTAAAGTCGGCACCGTGCCCCTCCTGCGCCTTCTAAGCCCAGGAACTGTCAGGCCCCACAACTCTCCCAAGACGCGGGGAGGTAAACACGCCCCAGGCAAAACGACCTCATCTCTGAGAACGCCCCGAGCCACGTCGATGGCCCGGCCCGGCATGCCGTTGAAGCGAGAGGCCTGCGGTTCCCCGGGTTAAGCCCGACCGGCACCGGGTCTCACCGAGCCTTGGGTCCTTTGCAGGGCACGCAGCGCGGGAAGCCGCCATGGACCGCGACGGCCCCGCAGGCAGCCCCCTGATCGCTAGCAACGAAACCGCGACCCCTGTTGCCGCCACCCGCGACTCGAGCCCGGGCAGGGCCGGGCCAGGACCCGCGGGCCCGGGCGGCGGCGGGCGCCCGGGGGGCGGGAGGCCGGCTGCAGCGAACGCTGCGCGGGAGCGAAGCCGCGTGCAGACTCTGCGGCACGCCTTCCTGGAGCTGCAGCGCACGCTGCCGTCGGTGCCGCCGGACACCAAGCTGTCCAAGCTGGACGTGCTGCTGCTGGCCACCACCTACATTGCTCACCTCACCCGCAGCCTGCAAGACGACGCCGAGGCGCCGGCGGACGCTGGGCTGGGCGCCCTGCGCGGCGACGGCTACCTACACCCTGTTAAGGTAGGCAGGCAGGGCGGCCTGCGGAGCTGGGCCGGGGAGCAGGGCACCTTAACCCTCCGGGTCGGCCACCGCCTGGGCAGATGCCGCAGAGCTCTCACTCCTCCCTCGCGGCGAGACGGGGAACGGATCCGGACAGCGACCTTGGCCCGCAAGGGCACCGGTAGCGAGGTCCCCACTGCAAAAGGCTACTCCGTAACTGTTCACAGGTAGTGGATTTAAACCCGAAGTGGCTTGGGTCGTAGGAGTGTCCTACTCCACTTCCAGGATGCAGCCTACATGATGCCTTTCCTAGGTGAGAAGTTTCTTGGGAGTGCCTGTTGGGGTTTTTGGCAAGTTCTAGTGATTTTTAGTATCAGATTTACATTTATGAGCCTTTGAGAGTTTTAAATTTACATAATTACATTTCCATCGCGGTTTTTATCAGATGGTTGAAAAGTTTCACGAATTAAAGGGGGTGATGGAATTATCGCCCCTTAAATAATCCAGGAAACCATGTTGAAATTTTTTGTAAAACTGGTTAAGAACAAAGTGAGACCGTTCTGCCATTCTGCGGAGTAAATTTTCAGTCCGTTTTAATAAAGGTTAATTATCATGGATTAGGCAGTTACCTAGAATGTTAGAAAAACTATAATGTATTTATGTAATTTTCACAATAGATTGGGGTATGTTAATCAAGCCGATTCAGTTCTATACTAAGATTCTGTAATGTGCAAATTAGCCCCTAGAATCCGTTTTGTATAATTTGTTACATTACATGTAGGTAAAATGGTCAGGGTTTTCATTTAGCATGGTGTATACGATTATGATTTATTACCTATATTGCAGTGTTTAGACTCTGCATTGTCCTTCTTGCCTAGATTTGTTTCAAAATCCAGCATTTATCTGGCTTTCTGTTCAAAATGCATTATCTACCCTATATTTTCTAAACCTAAATTTTCAAATTTTTGGTTCTACCATTCTGAAATATTTTGCCACACATATAAATATAAAATCAGGACTTAGACTTAAGCATATTAGTGTTCAATAAATTATTGAATAACCATCATTGAAATGTAGTAAGGTACACTGTCTAATATTAACTGAAACAAATTCTTTGGTGAGGTTTAACAGTTTACTTTGCAAATATAATCAACATAATGATAGACGCAAGCTATTTTGAATATAGAAATTTGGAATATCATTTGTTTATAATTATACTGGACCTCATATCTTTGTGCTATATAATATAATCTCTGCTGAAAAGTCATTCATTATTAATTAGGGGTTTTGCTCTACAGTCTGCATTAGATTGATATTCAAATATATCATTAATATTAGATTTCTTTTGACTTGACATTTCCCATATACTCTAAAAAAGTTTAACATTAAGTAGACTTTAATACAGAAAGCATCTGTTAAATGCCTCTGTAGGAGATACAATTCAGATAAGAAATCAAATTGTTTTCACCTTTGTTTCTTATAGTATCTTTTTGAATAAATACTGTTAATAATTTTCATGTAACAATAAGCTTAACAGGAGTTTTTTTGTTTTTTGTACTTGATTCAGGCACCAAATGTTTTTGTAGTCTAATAACTCCTTTAAGAAAAATTAAATCTCATTTGTCCTCAAATCAATTGTTTTGATTTTAAAAGACAATTCTAGGGATAATGAAACAAGGTCAAGGATTACCTCTTTAAAATGAAATTGATGATGGTTGAACAAGTGACTAGTCTGTTTTAAAATCATTTACTGAGTGTCTACTGTGTGCAAAGCACTGTTAGGAGAGTGGATACAATTAAGAGTAAGACTCAATCCCTGCCCTAAATTAATATATAATAGAGACAAAGACAAAAATAAAATAATGTAAGGGATAATGTTCTGTATACCATAAGAGAGCTATAACCATGTGCTTTTGGAGGTTTAGAGGAAAGAGATTTCGTACGCGTAATTGAAACCACCTGTAACACATTATTTTACGGATATTACCAAATGTTTAAGTCTATTTTTGATTAATCTAATGCAAAAGAAATAAAAATATTCTGATCGTACTAATTTTTAGTTAACTAAGGATGTTGTAACCCATAGTTAAAAAGTGTTCCAAGATGACTTTTTTTTCTGCCTTACAACATAGCATTACTATGTCTTTGATGATTAAAGATCTGTTAACAAATATTTCAAGGCCATGATTTTGAGTCATCAGTCCTTATTATCTGTATTGAGATTTAACATTTTTGGGAATTTACATTAAGAGTATCTCAAATGAAACTGGATGGTTAAAGTGATTGGGATCCTGGGGCATAGCCTAAAACAGCAGTTTTCATCCCTTTGGGATGTGAGCAATTTGATTAGCACCAGTGTACCAAGGGGCAGTGATCCTTCAAGAGAACAGGGATATATTTCAGATTCTTATATTGGAGAAAAGCACAGATGACTTTATTAATTGCATTATCCCTGGAGAATCACTGTTGATAATATACATATACAGTAATCTTAAAACTAAAATACAAAGTTTTGTTATTTTGGGTCATTTAACTCCAGAATCCAAGAGTGCACTTTTAAGGTTTTCAGGTTCAGTTCGGTTAATCCTATGAGTTTGCTAGATTGTTCTAAGCCTCATGAAACATCATGGTTTTAAATAAACTTTATTAGGTAAAATAGAGGTCAGGATTGTGTTAATCTACAAAATGTTAAAACATTCCATTGAAAGGTGAAATGTAAAACAGTCAAACTAGCTTTTTCGGCATAATACATGCAGCCTAACCAATATTTTATTTACATTTTATTTCTGACTCTTAAAACTACATATATACATTAAATTCAGTTGAATAAAATCATTAGAAGCCTTTTGGAAAATCAAAGTACGAAGTTCTTAAAGTTTTATCATTAAGTTCATGAAAAATGAGGCAAAAATTCACATACACATTTTTTTAAGTTTATTTTATTTTTTAGTAATCTCTACAGCCAAGGTGGGGCTCAAACTCATGACCCTGAGATCAGGAATCACACATTCCTCCCACTGAGCCAGCTAGGCATCCCAAAAATCCACATATACATTTTTAAGTTTGCTTCATTAATTACTCATGTCCCGCCAAGGAACAGATGCATTCATTTGTCTCCACATTTGGTTGCATGATTTAGAGTCATTCTCAATACAGCAGGACCCAGGTAGCACATATCAGAAATACCAGGGAGCATTCAGTGGAATGTTTATTTGCTTTTAAATATATTTAATTCATATGGAATATTCAAATTACATCTGAAGTTTAAGCATGACATTTTTATGCTCATGAATATGAGGCAGGAATTTAAAAGATTGAGAAGCACAGGTTTATAATGTGCCAAAAATTCTACACTTGAAATTGATTATTTTAGCCCTACACTATTAACTACAAGTATTAGTCGGCTTGGGCTGCAATAACAAAACACCATAGACGGGAAGGCTTAAAAAACAAATTTATTCTCTCACAATTCTGGAGTCTGGAAAGTCTAGGATCAAAGTACGGGCCATTTGAATTCCTGGTGAGAGCTCTCTCCCTATCTTGTGGTTGGCCAACTTCCTTCTTTCTCAGGAAAAAAAGAAGCTTTCTCTCTTTTTTTTTAAAGATTTTATTTATTTATTTGACAGAGAGCGAGATAGTGACAGTAGGAACACAAGCAGGGGGAGTGGGAGAGGGAGAAGCAGGCTTCCCGCTGAGCAGGGAGCCTGATGCAGTCTCGATCCCAGGACCCTGGGATCATGACCTGAGCCGAAGGCAGACACTTAATGACTGAGCCACCCAGAAGCTTTCTCTTCAAAGACCACTAACCTGGGCTCCTGGGTGGCTCAGTCAGTTAAGTGTCTGCTTTCCACTCAGGTCATGATCTCAGGATCCTCAGAGTACCACGTCCACATCAGTAGGGCTCCCTGCTCTGCAGGGAGTCTGCTTCTCCCTCTGCGCCTCCCCCAACTCTCTCTCTCAGTCTCTCTCTCAAATAAGTAAGTAAAATCTTAAAAAAAAAAAAAAAGACCACTAATCCATCGTGAGGGGACCCACCCTTTTAACCTCATTTAGCTTGAATTACCTCCACAAATACCATCACATTGGGAGTTAGAGCATCAACATATAATACAAACATTCAGTCCATAGCATTATGGCACAAGGTTCTTCGTTATAATGCAGGACTGGAATCTGATCTAACAATGTCAGCTCCTGACATATCAGAAAAAACCCATACCAGTTTCCAAAACTGGGGTTATCAACCCATGGCAAGAACCCAAGGACAGGACCAGAGATACACCCAGAATGTGTAAGAATGCACATCTGTGATTTAAAAAAAACCTGAAATGGATGCAAAAATAGGTAGCACAGTGTCAGTGTTATTACTGCATCAAATATAAAGTACAAGGTTATTTACAGGAAGATTATACAGGAGTAGATCATTTTAAATTCTAAGTAACACAAATTTTATATTTTATCTGTGTTTAAAGTATAGATTTCCAGCCAGAATAATCTGAATTTAACCCTAAAATGGACCTGAGCTGCATGAGAGCAAACACTTATTATATCTGGAGGCATAAAACTAGGACTCTTGTTGGTTGCAAAGAACAGAGGCTTCCTGGATGGTATCACATGCCTACTTAACTATCCCTTATAGCTACATTTTACATCTGGAATGCTAGTTTAGGTGATAGTACTGTACTCAGAAGTACAATCTGACTCTACCTTATACTCAACTTCTGCAAAAAGAGGTCCATTCCGATTTAATTGGTCTGGTGTGTGACTTGGCCATCGGTATTTTTTAAAGCTCCCCGTGTGATTTTATTTTTTTATTTTTATTTTTTTAAGATTTTATTTATTTATTTGACAGAGAGAAACACAGCAAAAGAGGGAATACAAGCAGAGGGAGCAGGAGAGGGGGGAAGCAGGCCTCCTGCTGAGCAGGGAGCCTGATGCAGGGCTCGATCCCAGGACTCTGGGATCATGACCTGAGCCAAAGGCAGACGCTTAATGACTGAGCCACCCAGGTGCCCCTCCATGTGATTTTGATATGGAGCTTGGGTTAAGAATCTGAAGTTCTTAGGGTCTTTTACCTTGTTAATAATTGTATCTCTATTTGAGCACTGCAGATTATTTGTCAGGCATTTAAGAACATTTCATGGTGCTGTGTAACCAGCAGTGAGCCTGTGACTGTTCAGTGATAAAAACAGCCTGCTACTCACTGTAGCATTTACTCTCTGAAGAGTATGGGATCCCATTGCTGACCTTTGGGAGTTGCACTTTATTAGTCTAAAGACTTCTCTTTGTATAAAAGTAGTATTTCTCTGACTAGTATTCCAAGGACCTTAGAACTAACGGATTATCAGACACCCCTCCCCAAGAAAAATTTCTGAAAGTACTACTTATATAATATATTTCTTTCTCATCATGTCTATTTGGCAATAAGTCATATTATTTTTGAGAGGTTGTCCACTTTTAAGGTGAATTTAGAAAATTCACAATCAGGGGCGCCTGGGGGGCTCAGTCGTTAAGCGTCTGCCTTTGGCTCAGGTCATGATCCCAGGATCCTGGGATGGAGCCATGCATCGGGCTCCCTGTTCAGTGGGAAGCCTGCTTCTCCCTCTCCCATTCCCCTGCTTGTGTTCCCTCTCTCGCTGTATCTCTCTCTCTGTCAAATAAATAAAATCTTTTTAAAAATTATAAATAAATAAGATCTTTAAAAAGAAAATTCACAATCAGAATACAAATGCAATAATTACTGAAAGGCTAATGCTGTATGATGCCACTACATCCAGACATTTATTTTGGATGTTTTATCTACATAACACCAAACATTATAACATTTGCAACTTCGAGATAATGCTTTTAGCTAGATAAAAATTTTTTTAAGATTTTTATTTATTTATTTGATAGAACTCAGGGGGATGGGCAGGGGGAAAGGGACAAGAAGACTCTGTGCTGAGCGTGGAGCCCAACGCGGGGCTCATTCCCAGGACACTGAGATCATGACCTGAGCAGAAACCAAGAGTTGGACGCTTAACCGACTGAGCCACCCAGGCGCCCCCTAGATAAAATGTGTAAAAAGTTGAGTTAGTCACTTATTGTAGTTCTGTGACAAGTGGGAACATATAATATTTACCATGTATAACTTCTTAAAATATCTTTAAATATTTTGTTTTAGAGTTAGTTTTAAATTAAAACACTGTTAATAGATGTATTTTCCTTTGCTTATCTATATTTTCTCCATGGTTTCTTAAGGTTCTTGTCCACATGCACCCATATTATTTTATACAGTTATAATCAAAGTCTTGGTATATTTTTACTTTTATTGCTAGCACTAATAAACATTGTTTTATGTTGTTCCTTCGACTTCACAATTATAATTGTTACTAGCTTCATGATGTTGCATTTGCTTTGAGGCATTTGGAATTTTTAATATTACTAATACAGACCTATCTGTCACAGATACTAATTTTTGGATTCTTGTTTAAATATTCTTTTTCAGAAATGGCCCATGCGATCAAGATTATACATTGGTGCTACTGGTCAGTTTCTGAAGCATTCTGTGTCTGGAGAAAAAGCAAATCATGGCAGTACTACAACAGACTCACAGCCTTAGGCTTTTCCCTGATGGGTGCTGGTAGAAAGTGGCGTGCATTGTTTTTAAATAGTAGGAAATCAGTCTGTATTTATTACATCAGGCATAACAAACATCATTCCTGAAAGTCTGCATGTGAATCCATAGTGGGAAGTTCAGATTTATCTGTCTCATCTAAATAAATGTGGAATGAAGTCATCAGTCTTGTATAAAATACACAGCTTATCTATCCGTTGTGAGAGATATTCACTACTGTATAGTGCAAGAAAAACTATTGGAAAAAAGAAAAGCACCCAAATCAAAGAATTGTGTATATATCCAAAGAATGCACACATTTTCTGTAGGTATCTATTACACCCTGAAAAGCTGATATCTATCAATAATCTTGATAGTTTAAAAAAAATAAGACACCGATATTCCATTTTTGTGAAAACCAGTTTATGCTTAAGTTGGTCTGAGAAGCCATTTCAATTGGAAGGTGTGAGATCATTTATTCAGTTTTAGCTAAAGATGTGTGAAAGGATTGTTGAGGTATTAGGAAGTTGCAGTAACTTCTACAACTGGTTATTTTTCCCTCTTAGAAAACCTGTTTGGAGTATTAGAAGAGTTTGCTGTATTGGACAGGGCTTGGCCACCTTCCTAGATGACTATGAAATATCTTATTATGTTTCCAAATTGTGGAAGGCTTTGGGAATCCCTGTAGCCCAGTGTAAACAGCAGATGAGTGTCACTGGGCAGCAGGGTTCCTCACCCTCCTCCCTGGTCCCTCCATATCTGCTCCACCCTTTCAGGTCCTGGACTAGATGAGCAGGCACAGCTGCAGCCACCTTACAGAGTCAACCCCTCCCAGTCTCGGCTTTGCCTAAGCTCCTTCTCCCCCTTGTCTGTTGCTGTTCACAATCTACCTACTTGGCCATTATGAAATTGGAGAGAAAACCTGTCTGATTGGGAATTCCGGCACTGATCTGCACCTTGAGAGGGTCTGAGGACACACAGTGACTACCCTGAGCTCAATCAGGCCAGAGCATATCCCCCTGAATCTGCCCCAGTGTGAACATACAATCGGGAAGGTCCTCTCCCGTGGGCCTCTCCCCTCACACTGCACACCACGTGCCCAGGGAGCAGCTGTTCTACCTGATTGTGCCCGTTTCCGTTTTCAACAGGAGCTCAGGGGTCAGAGCCATGAAGTAGAAATGTCTGTCAGGGACCGCACTGAATCCCAAAACAGGTCTCTTGTCATGTCTTGAACTCCCTTCCTTCTCTTTCTCCTCATCTTAACTATTCCTCTTTCCAACCGTAAAGTTCATTTATTTCTCAATAACCACGTGTTAAGGAAGCTGAATTTGATCCAAGATTAGCAAATAGGAAAGTATATTAATGGACTTGGTTGAACCGATTACTATAGCTGTTGAACCATCATTTTATTTGTCTCCTCACTGCGGTTTTCTTACAGCTTTTGGCAGTGAAATGAGGTAAAGGACCATTGAAGGCACAAACCATCACTCAGTTGATTCAGCTGAACATGACCATATTTCAGCTCATATCTGATAGCCTGTAATTTTTATTATTTGAATGTGAATACTCCTAGTAATGTGACCAAAGCATGTCTTTAAAAGAAAAGGCATATAATAAAAAATTTTCTACATATTAATATGTAGCAAAAATGTTTGTATATTTAAATATTTGTGACTGTATTTACCCACTCATATAACATGGAAAGGAATAAAATGTAAAATGAGGTATGAATTCAGCCATTCACTATTATGTTATTTCCATAAAAAGTGCTATGACTAATCTTTTATCTTAAGGCATGAAAGCAAAGTTCTTTAAAGTTACCTGAAACTGAACTCTAAATACTACATTTGATAGCAAGAGTTTCAGAAAAATGGTTTTCTTGCTAATAATGATCTATTTGGCTACAGTTGTTAAAGCATTTAATTGGGGGAAAATTATGACTTTTGTTGAATTGCCAGACCTTTCTATATCATCCTGTTAAAATAGTTAAGCTTTGCCTTTGGCAGTATTAGTTTTTATTTCTTCTTGTCCACTTACAGAAATGTTTTAATGCCAAAGAAGTATATTTCTGTCCTAGGTTTTCTTAACACTTCATTAAATTGCTAAATATGTTAACAGCTTTTGGTAGATTGGAAATTCTCAAGGGAGAAATCGCATATTTTCACCCAAAGGTTCAAAGGAGCATGCTGTTTTAATTAATGGTACACGGTCGAGATAAACGCATTACTAAAATAAAGCATTAATTTGAAAATTAATTTAGTCTGTTAAGTTTGCATCTGTCTCTGGGGATATTTAACAAAGACTTAAGGTACATTTGAAATCTTTCTAGAAGATAGATAACTGTTTGGCATTAGCTTCTTCACCATGCTCCCTTTAATGGAGTATATATTAGGACTGGGGAGGGGAGGTATATTTGGATCACAGTATTATCCTATAATCTGCAAGGGAAATCCTAAATTCCCATCATTTCACTCAGCTCTCAGCAATATGACAGATATTTAAATTCTTCTGTAATGAAAATTTTAGAGGATAGGGAAGTGCCTTTTTAGAAGCATAACCAGTTCCAACAGACTTTAAAAATATTATTTCCTTTTCTGATTATAAAAATACAGTGCAGTTGATTGTATGTTGATCATGCATCAATAATTATATTAAAAGTATATATATATATATACACCTGTTTTACAAATTAAAACTTAATAATAAAAGGGATTACGTGGAAAATAAAAGTCCTGCAATGGAAGAGGGTGTTTGGGATATAGAATAAGGGTGGGGAAATCTATTCACACATTACCTGGTAAAAAAGATGGGTTTTGCATTTTTATGAGGCTTATTTGGCCCAACTACTTCAATCTGCAGTTATAGATATCCTAAACAGTGGTTTTCTTATCTATTCATGGAGACTTTATTTAAACTTAGAAGAAACTGCAAAAAGAATATAAATGCTAATTGACCTTACTGAAACACCCAGTCATTATTTGAGTTGAAATTGCTTTTTAGGTTAAATTACTCAATAATTTCTCTTTCTCTCACAGGTCCTCATTTTATATTCTTGAAAGCAACTAACCAGTTATTATCAAGAAAAGCGAAAGTAGGAGAGGGAGAGGTAGTTGTATATATATTTTCCAGCACATCATTTAATTTTTTTATTTAAGCCTTGGGGTATCATAGTGTCATTCTGAGGAAATAAACCAAACAGACAAAACATTTCTGCAGTGGCCTACGTGATTCCCTTAAAAATCAACAAATGGGGCGCCTGGGTGGCTCGGTTAAGTGACTGCCTTCGGCTCAGGTCATGATCCTGGAGTCCCGGGATCCAGTCCCACATCGGGCTCCCTGCTCAGCAGGGAGTCTGCTTCTCCCTCTGGCCCTCTTCCCTCTCATGCTCTCTATCTCTCATTCTCTCACTCTCAAATAAATAAATAAAATCTTTTAAAAAAATCAACATGAATTGTACTTGGCATAATTATAAGAAAAGGTGCTTGTTGGCTCCACACAAATTGTATTCTTAGCTGGCAGGAAGAAGAAATTATAAATCAAACACATTGCTTCTGATCCAAATTTATATATTAGATATCTTACTTTGAGAGGATGGCTTAATCCAAATGCTCTTTCCTAACCAGGTATAGGTTATTGCAGGTTATATCAGTCGTATATTTTATTTGAAAAGGTATGAACTTGGACTCTTCGAGCATTGGCATATTGTTTTAATCTGGTAACAAATTCTATTTTTTAAAAAAAGGTTTATTTATTTATTTGAGACAGAGAGAGAGAGCATGAGCGTGAGGGGCAGAGAGAGAGGTAGAGAGAGAAAGTCCCAAGCAGACTCCCGCTAAGCATGGAGCCCAACATGGGGCTCAATCCCAGGACTCTGAGATCATGACCTGAGCCAAAACCAAGAGTTGGATGCTTAACCCACTGCGCCACCCAGGCACCCCAAATTCTTTTTTTTTTTTCACTTTGCTGGAGGATGTGATATCTACAGTTTCCCAAATGACTTTTACAACTAGTAGTGTACTAATGCTATCCTTCTCCATGGTACACTTTTGATTTTTTTAGTTTTGTTTTTGTTCTTGTAACTTAAAAAATATCCAAAAGTTAAGATTCCCAATTTTTAAAAGGAACACTAGGGAAATATAAAATTGTATATCTCAAAGAAATTAATATGTATAGGACTGTCTTACTGGGGAAAAAATGCCCCTTAAATCCTATAGATTTGTTTCCTATAAACTTTGAGTACAGCACAGACGGTACTGTGGCACAGTTGGGAATGTGGGACATTAGTGCTCTTGCCTAACTACATAAACCCGGCAAGGGCTTCCCTTCCTATGTTTATACAAGTCTTAGTTTCAATTCATAAGAGAAACCAGCTCAGTGAAATATACCTCAATCACTCAAACTCTTTCATTATAAATTTTACCATAGCATTCAGCTGTCAGAAGCTTTTAAATTATAAACTGAAGAATAATCTTAACTATTAGGCTTAAAGATTATGTCAATAGTCATTTCCTGTGCCTATGAATGTTACTGAAGAAACTCACACATTCCTGCCTTCTCAGAACCAAGAAGTATGTCCACGGGGAGCTCTGGAGGTGGACTTAAATCACTTGTCTCCATTTTTATATAGTCAATGTGAGGTCTAGATAAGAATTGATTAAAGCAATCTTATTTTCCAGTAAGTTCTGAAATCAGTCAATTTAAAAATCTTAAACATGTGCTATTAGAAAGCATCTTAATGCTTTATGTAGATATGTATATCATGTGGATCAGTATTTTTTTTAAAGATTTTCAAGATTTTATTTGTTTATTTGACAGAGAGCATGCACAAGCAGGGGGAGCAGAGGGAAAAGCAGGTTCCCCGCTGAGCAAGGAGCCCGATATGGGACTTGATCCCAGAACCCTGGGATCATGACCTGAGCTGAAGGCATCCCACGACTCTGGGATCATCACCTGAGCTGAAGGCAGACGCTTAGCCAACTGAGCCACCCAGGTGACCAGATCAGTATTTTTTTTAAATTAAGTTGTATTTTAGGGGCGCCTGGGTGGCTCAGTCGTTATCCATCTGCCTTCAGCTCAGGTCATGATCCCAGGGTCCTGGGATCGAGCCCCACATCAGGGTCTCTGCTTGGTGGGAAGCCTGCTTCTCCCTCTCCCGCTCCCCCTGCTTGTGTTCCCTCTCTCGCTGTCTCTCTCTCTGTCAAATAAATAAATAAAAATCTTAAAAAAATAAAAAATAAAAAATAAGTTGTATTAAAAAAAAAAAGGCCTGTGCAAGATTGTTTCTCCTTTGTGTGCAGCACACCTGTCTCTCTTGCTGATTGTAAGCCCCTATACTGGAGTCGTCTTGAAACATAGGCCATAACCAAGTGGAAAAAGTGGTGTGC